TCCGCCCTCACCCGCTGCCCGGCCCGGAGGCCTGTTGAGGATGGCAGTAAGCCTTTGACGGTGAAACATCGAAGAGGATGCCAAGAGACAAACCCGCCAGCAGCTGGGAAGCACACCCTGCGCCGGGGGCGACGGAGGGCTAGGCCCGGCTGCGGCTCTGCTGCGGGTCGCGGCTTTACGGTGTGGTTTGTGTCCCTCCTTCAGGACTGCGGGAAGCGCCGTGCGCAGCGAGCCTGGGTGAAGCACCCTCCTGAAGCGGGGTCAAGGTAGAACGAAGATGTTTGCTCCCAGCTCTTAAATTAGGTTGGTTTGGTTTTTTTCTTGGAGTCTTAAAAATCATGTGTGGTCATTCGTAACTTTAAAAGTAATACCACCTCTTCGGAACGTCAAACCAGAGCGCATGCTTGAAAACCCTCCAGTAAGAATAAACTGTACACTTCTTTTCTAGACGTAACTACCGGATAAATTTCTAACGATGAACAGCATTGCCAAAAGCCTTTTGAAATCCGTTAACCGCGGCCGAGCTGCGTGGCTGAGAAGCAGCTCTGCTCACTCCGGAAAACGGCGCCTTCGGGAGCTAGTTCTGGGAATAGAGACGAGCTGCGATGACACCGGCGCTGCTGTGGTGGACGGTGCCGGCAACGTTCTGGGAGAAGCGCTGCACTGTCAGAAGGAAGTCCATTTGCAGTGAGAATATAATTGTCTCGGGGCTTTGGCCTTAATAATGATTTTATTGCCTTAATAATGATTTTATTGTTATTCTTACTTGTAATACTGTCCGTGCAAGTCCTCTCCTCCAGAAAACTCGGTAAGAAGTGGGTAGGTGGAAAGACCTGTCTCTTGGGCCACACTGCATTCTGCTTGAGATATTATTAAGGGTGAGGAAAGAAATGCTGTGCATTTAACAAGTTTCCTCTGGTATTTTCTTTCAAAAAGAGACAGGTTACTTCTCTAGCTTGAATTAAAGATGAAATCATTATTACTGTTAAAACCACCAAATGTCTCAAATTTTTTAGGGGAAAATCAGATACAGGCATTGGTGGCTAAGTACATGAACGGACAAGTGAGGGGTTGTGGATATTATGTTACAGACATTGTTTTGGAACAACGTTGAGATACATTTAAGAGGTACGTGTACCAAAAAAGGGCAAGTTACATCCTTTTCTGACCCCCCAGTGGTGACTGCTTTCTTCAGTGCATAGATGCCCTTTACACTAAACAAGGCATTTGAGAACGTACTAAGGAAATGGGCAGGATATGGCAAGGTTAAGAGGTGTTTAAAATCTATTTTTATGCCATTCTATCTGTTACGAAATACAAATGTATTGTAACTCTTTGTTTTTACTAGAGCAGGTGGAATAATTCCTGTGGTGGCACAGCAACTTCACAGAGAAAACATCGAGCAAGTAGTAAAAGAAGCGCTTAGTGTCAGTGGAGTTTCTGTACACGAACTTGCAGCTATTGCAACTACGGTAAAACCAGGACTTGCACTAAGCCTTGAGGTGGGGCTGCAGTACAGCCTGAACTTGGTGAGCAGGTACCAGAAGCCGTTCATACCCATTCATCACATGGAGGCTCACGCACTGACCATCAGACTGACCCATCACGTGGAATTTCCCTTCTTAGTTCTTTTACTCTCTGGAGGCCACTGCATCTTGGCAGTAGCACAAGGAGTTTCAGATTTCCTTCTGCTCGGACAGTCCATAGATATAGCACCGGGTGACATGCTGGATAAGGTAATATTTCCTTATGTAAGTGAATCTAGTTTTTTTTTCTTTTTATTGCACTTATACTACATAATGGTAGTATTATCATCAGCCCAAGGACAGTACTACGATGCAGTATGAGCTTTACTTAACTTTTTTTTCTATTTTGAAATACCATAGATTTAAGACACAAGAGGCTGTTAAAAATCTATGCCTAGCATCAGATGTAACATATGTCAATTAATTGTATTTTTAGCAAATGGATAACATAACCAAAACTGGCGTTGGAAGTTTCATTGACACCCACTATACAAAGGAGTTGTATGAATTTGAGAGGATTGATAGTGATATTTTAAAGGATGCTGTCAGGTTTAAAACAATACATGTTAAAACATTTCTTACCGGCTTTTTTGTACAGTTTGAAAAGCCTGGTTTGGCTTTCAGAATCTAAGTTCTCTGGGTCACTGAATACATTCTGTAAAATTGATTACTTACAGTTTTGTTCTCAAACACAAGCAGAGTTTTTAAACAGTATTTGTGTGTATTAATTAAAAAAGTGGGGCAGCGAGTGGAGTCAGAAGGGGAATTGTTGAAAGTTGAAACCAACTTTGTTCCTGTTTATCTGGTAATACAGTATGGCAGCCCATGTGTGTCTCCTATAGCATAAAAATTGGGTGATTGTTTCCTGCAAAATTCACTGATCCTCATGTTTGCCCAAATTGTTCTAGAATTGCATTTCTAGTTGCTCCAGAAAAAAAAATAAAATCCAGCTGGCGTATGTCTTGTCTTATTGTGTGCCCTGTTCATCATTTCACGTTGGATTGGATTTTGTGATGTCTAATTTTACTCCACGGACTACAATACAGTGATGCAGTTACAGGAGGAATTAAATTAGCTCTCTATTCCAAGTCTGTTGTTTATTATCTCCTTAGGTAGCAAGAAGACTGTCGTTAAGAAAGCACCCAGAGTGCCACAGCATGGCTGGGGGGAAGGCGATAGAGCACTTGGCTCAAACTGGAAACCGGCAACAGCACACGTTCAGACTTCCCATGCAACAATATCGTAACTGTGATTTTTCTTTCTCTGGACTTCAGAACCTTGTCAATAAAGCCATTATACAAAAAGAAAAAGAAGAAGGTATTTTGAAAGTCGGATATAAACCATGTTTTTGATGACCTATACTCAGGAAAACCCATCTGATCATACGTTTTTATAGGTATTCAAGAAGGTGAGATCCTATCCTGTGTTAAGGATATTGCTGCTGCTGTACAGCATGCAGTGGCTGTTCACATTATCCAGCGAACCTATCGAGCCATGCTGTTCTGCACAAAAAATAAGATATTATCATCAAAAAATGCGACTTTGGTGGGTATACTTTTTTTTTCCCCCTTTTTATATTTGACTGTATAACATCGTTTGAAGATGCAGGTGCCTTGTTGTACTTCCTTCCTTGACAGGTGAGGAAGATGTCAGTATGTATTACATCGTTAAAATACCAGGATTAAAGTAATAGTCATATAAATATTTACAATGAAGTCTTTCATGGTTTGGTTTTAAGCTAGAAAGAGGTTTTCTTGCCATCTAATCTGACCTTCCGTCACAATTTAGGCCACATAATTTGACCTAGTGCTCCCCAGTGCTCGACAGCTGTTCTACTTATAACATGCTTTTATTCAGGAATCTCTCTTAGCATAATAAGCTCACTTATCATACTCTTTTCTGATATATTTGCATCTTCAAGGATACATTTTAATCTTCAAATGCATTATTTATTGCTGTCTTCAGAACCTCATCTGATAACCTCTTTCTAAATAGGATGTTAGTTGAGCGTGACCCATCACTACTTTCGAGTTAATGCCTCTCTTCTTGAAACTGCTGTCAGGTTGTATCAGGAGGAGTTGCAAGTAATCAATATATCCGAAAAGGTCTACAGACTTTGGCAGATGCAAATCATTTTGCTTTTCTGTGTCCTCCTCCAAGACTGTGCACCGATAATGGTGTTATGATTGCATGGTAAGAGTTGTTTCTCTTTGCATATTTCTATAATGTTCTTTTAAAGCTGACATCAGAATCAAGAATTTCTGTTTATGGTGACTGAACCACATACACATATTCAGCCAGTTATGACATACGTTTTTACATAATTGCTTTCTTGCTTAGGAATGGCATTGAAAGGTTACGTGCAGGACTTGGTGTTTTACATAGTACTGATGGCATCCGCTATGAACCAAAGTAAGTGACTCAATTCATTCATGGTCTGTTTCTTCACTTACTCACTATGGTCAATGAAAGGGGAAGGAGGTGTAGACGAAAAAGAGCAGCAGAAGCTGATGAGGAGGGTCTTTGTAGTGCATATAAGGTTTAAAAGTTACCAGCACTTCCTTATCAACGTAGCTGTGAAATACAAATGATGGAGCCTGGCACTTATGTTTGTTTTGGCTCAGAAACTTAAATTACCATACATCATCACAGTTCTATGTATTTTCCTATTACCGTGGTGGTATGGGAAAACTGGAGCAAGGTAAGCTGTAATACGCTCCCCCTAGCTTCTCAGTTACTGTAGGCATAAATCAAAATGCTTCAAGTCCAACTGTGTATTCATAATGAGCAATTGATTTAAAAAAAAGAACTTGACGTACAAAGTCTGGTAATACTTTTTTTTTTTCTTTACTGATAATGATTTTTTTAATGACTTGTTAGGTAAGACTTGTTCTATGGATTTAAGTAGAGCCTAGGCTTAAGGCCAAACAAAGTTCTGGTATTTCAAAAGTACCAGCTGGTCTTAAACTTGACATTTTTTTCAGGTTTTTCCCCTTTCCACTTCCAGGAAAACAGCCTTGGAAGGTCTCAGGACAAAAAAAATTGTTTTATAATTTTGACATGAAAAATGATAAAATATTCTTCTTCAAAAATAACTTGCTGTATATATCTTGGTGAATAAAATACTAAGTTTTATTTGCTGTAGACTGTACATTCCTTAAGATTATCACATAGATACCTGTGAATCTCTAGTGTGTCTTGCATTCATCAGTGACATGTAAAATGAATTGTCAATTAAAATCAGAATCTAAATAAAACAACGTCCCCAAAAGATGGCTTTGAAATCACAACTGTGTTTCCCTGAGTTTGGAATAGCTACAAATGAAACATTTCCTCAGTGTAAAGATGTTTCTAGGTACAGCTTCAGATGGACCATTTTAATGGTCACACAGTCTTACAGCACAGGGAATCTGCAAAAATACGGTGACTCCCATGCTCACTATAAAAAAAGTTTGTGAATCTGCACATCTGTGTGATACGGCAATCATGTTACTTATTTTTAACAAATACATAATTTTATTATTTTCTAGAGCTCCCCTTGGAATTGATATTTCAAAAAGAGTTGAAGAAGATTCCATCAAGGTGCCAAAACTAAAAAAGAAGATACAATGGTTGGCATCTTAAAAAGTAACTTAGTAAAGTAAATGCAGCTGTAAGTTGTTCAATAAAAACTGTTTCAATACTGTTACATTTTCCGACAGTACTTGGTTTACAAGTGTTGAAAAATAACTTGTCAGAGAAATAAATGCTGTGTGGTATCACCGAAACAATTCCAGTCTACAAATGTCTAAGAGTTGTAGGTATTAAAACAGTAACAAATCTAAAAGTGCACTTTCTAATAAAAATAAATGTACACAAATGAAAATATCTCCAATGTTTACACTTTATAACTTCTTATAAGGTTGTCCTGGTTTCGGCAGGGATAGAGTTAATTAGCTGGTACAGTGCTGTGTTTTGGATTTAGGGTGAGAACAAAGTTGATAACGCACCAATGTTAACGGCTGAGGTTAAACCACAACAGTCCTTTTGGCGCCCGTGGGGCTCGAAGGGTTCGAGATAATGACAGGTTTGATTGGAATGTGCTAGATCGAATTTATACCTGTTATAGCTGTTTAGCTATTAATTGGCAGGCTCCTGTGCTTGCCATGGGGCTTGCTTGCCTTACTGTACATTAGAGTCTAATGCTCGTTAGTGGCTGCTTTTTGCTTTCGCTGCTTGCTGTACTGCTGTGCTGCTTATCATCATAGAATCATAGAATCGTTAAGGTTGGAAGAGACCTCCAAGATCATCGAGTCCAACCGTCAACCCAACAACCGTCATATTCTACTGTGCCTGGGAACATTTTGATAACAGCAATGGCGATGTGCCTGGGCTGGCAGACGGCCAGGGCATCGCTGCTGTTTCTGTGCTGCTGTACTGGACAGGCTGGAACTCCAGTGTGAACTCGAGTCGAAGGGACTGTGACGTGTGGATGAGTCCATGCGGGAGC